TGCGGAAGGGACAGATAACCCATAATTGATTTTCTTCGTTGGTTTTTTATTTGTAACCCCCCGATGAGAGACAAATTGTGTAAATAGGATATGGGAATGTTAGTCATGCTCGTCGATTACCAATCCTTGGAGACTTACTCATTAAACAGAATTCAAGCAACTACCTTTATCTCTACCTTTTTTACTGCGTCCTTTGCGTATTTTATCAATTTGTTTTGCGAAATCTTAACTTCACTGTTAAATTGACATTCTTATCGGTATTATCGAATTATATTAGGATTATAATACGGAGGTTGCCGTACATAGTAGAAGAGTTTCATATGAAGCCTTCTTACATTTCTAGCACATAATTATAAATCAATCACCGTCTTTAAATATAATTTATACACGTTATAAATTCGCATTAATCTTTGGTATATTGGCGGATAGATTTGGTAGAAAGTATCCATTAATGGCAGATATCATCTTATACAGTGTAATAGAATTAGCTTTAAGATTTGCCCCGAATTTTACAATCTTTATCATACAGTATTAAGAATAATTTTCGGATTGCAATGGGCGGAGAATGGGGCACAGGTATAATTAATTTTACAAATTAATGCGGTTACGGCACATGTCGTATTTTTTGCCATGAACCGTAAAGCTGTAATGCAGAAATACTACGTATAATGCCGTTTCTGTACTGTATTATGTACTTTTCTTTAAATAATATACTGTTACAGCTAATTTCAAAATTCGTGGACGCCAAAAAACTTATCCCGAATTATTGTTGAGATGGCGGATAGCGGATAGCGGGTAATCACGAGTTCTAGATTATGTATTATATTGATATCGATGTATGTTTTATTAAAATACGTATAATAAATCCAAATAATGATTCTTCTAGACTGTTCTATTTGACATAATCTAGACCTCGTGATTACTCGCTACCCGCCATAAAATGACTAATTAGTCGACTAAGTTTATGATTAGTCAACTAGTCGTACGTATAATATATAAAGTAAATATAATAAACTATAATTTATTAGTCAACTAATCAAAATATTGGTTAACTATTAGTTTATATTAGTGTTAGGCAAATTATAGTTTTTTTCAAATTTTATGCACATAGAATTTTGGCCGCATTATAAAATTCTGGCTCGCATTATGGCAGCTTGCTGCTAATGCGGACCAGAATTATGAGGTTCCAAAATATTCCGAAAACTCCAAAATATACTCACACGCATAATGCACAATACTATCTTTAGTTGATTTTTAGTCTACTAATAAAATTTAGTCGATTAGTTAATTTTAGTCGATTTAGTCGACTAAAACTTAGTCGATTCCTATCACTACCGCCATCCCAACGATAAATTTTTAGGGTGGTCCACGAATTTTGAAATTAGCTGTAATATATTTTTTCGAATTTGATTCTGTCGACTCCGTTGATTTAAACGATTACCGTGATTTATTTTTAATTAGGTATAATTCGGGCAGTGTCATAAATCCCGAAATATTCCGAGGTCGAGGAATTTTGACTCATTTCCATAATGTTTCGAAATATGGATCATTATACATATGGGTGACGCCAAGGGAAAAAGGAACATTCGGTTTTATTGATTATTTATCTGATGATTGACAACATATCGGGCTTTCACTAAGACGACAATTTCAAGGATTTCAGAGGTTAATTTATAATTGAAAGCCCGATGTGTTGTCGATCATCAGCTAAATAATCAATAAAAACGAACGTTCTTTTTTCCGGTTTTGTCGGTTTTTGTCACTCATCGAGGGGCGTTACAAATGAAAAGCAACTATGGGTCACTCTGTACTAACAGTACAGAATTCAAAAGTATCGATCGACTGGCCTAAAACCTGACGGTATTGTCTACCGCAAAGGGTGGGGCGAAAAAAACCAGACAATTCAATCTGGAAAAAACCCTTAGTTCCCTTTGATTAACATGCCAGTCAAGACTAAAACGAGTGCTATGTACACAAATACAAAAAAAACCTGTTCCCTTAAATATTACTAACGATTACTAATCTCAATACTATGTCATTATGTCATCATCAAACGAAATCACCGTAATGGCAAAATCCTACTATAATGCATCAACATCAATTAATATATACCCGTGATCGATTCGAGACAAATGCTGCCCCGATATATCACATTACAATATTGTGTTATTGCGGCATTACGAAATTACGGAAATTCGGGCAGTGTCATAAATCAGGCCAGGTTCCGAAATCTTCCGAGGTTGAGGAATTAACAGGAGGATCCCACACCATTTTATTATTATAATAAAAATGATGTGGGATTATAATCATAATAACATGTACTAGCGGAATGATCTGGTATTGTAAAATAATTTTTATATGTTGCTGTTCGAGGAATTTTGACCTATTTCTCGAAATATAGCGATAGTGTTGTTATTGCGTCATTACGAAATTACGGAATTGCGACATTACGGCATTGCGGCATTACGGCATATAATATTTACGGCAATTAGATGCTATGCCGTGATTAATTTTACCATTGGTAAAATGCCGTAATTGCCGTAATTCAGTAATTCTACCACCAACTATAGGCACAGATGCTGCATTGGCAATGGAAATTTTACCATCAGAAACTCGGGTATGAATTTTTATATGCTGATTCATGTTTAAGTATCAAACCTTAGAAGAATTTGATAATTTAACAACGCGTATTATTATCTATGAAACTGGATTTATGGTGGCTGCAACATTTTATTAGTAAACCTCGGATTGCGCCTTGTTCTTTTCCTGCACTTTTGGTTGTCTTAATACGCTTTCTTGTTCTTGAATCACTAACATGAGGAATAATGCACTATATAAATACCTTCACCTGGAAATCTATGAAACTAATTTTTAAACATTTTCGGATAAAAATTATTCATGCTATATTATTGAATATAAAATGTAGGTAGCATAATAGGAGGTGCAGTCTGTGAGTACACTTCTCAGTATTTAGGTCGTAAACGAACAATTATTCTTGCTGCCATAATGGTCGATGCGTTTCTACCATTATTTGTTCTTCCTGCAATAAAATCTTTCTAAGCGTTTGCGCAATTTTTTTTTTATACTTTTTCGTCAGGTACTGTAAATTGTGCAATTTAATATTAAACGCAAGATTTTCATTTTAATATATATAATTATTAATAATTAGGGGGCATGGGGAATTGTTCCTGCTCACCTAAATGAACTATCACCTCCGAATTGTCGAGGAACATCCCTGGTTTACGTATCAATTAGGTGTTTTAATTGCTCCTTATTGAAGCGATGCTAGGGAAAATTTTGAGTGTTAGTTTTGACTGATCAATAATAAATTTAGTGACAAAAATATCTGCTTAATTCAGTCATAAATACGCCGTAATGAAATTCCCATTTACTTGGTAAATTTTATACATTCAACTTTATAGATTTTTATTTATCAAATGCGTTGAACCCAAATACGTATAATAAATAAATTTTTTTTTTTCTACTCCGTCAGCGAAGCACCTAGTTAGTATGGGGTATGGTTTTTAAATTTTGCTATACTGATCTGCTCACCTATACCATATTGATTGCTATAATTTCTACTGTATGAACTAATGTACTGTACTACCATATACCAATTATAATACTGAATTTATTTATTACAGTATACGTGAAAAGTTTTTTTTTTTTTTTTAGCTTTTAATCTTTATGTAGCATTATATATAAGAGACAGTTGGTGAGACCAAATTATACAATTTTAACAATGCGAAATTTTATAGCAAATCTGTCAATTTTTTTGATTATAGAAGGACAAGCAACAAATATAGCAGCAGTATTAATTAAACTATTACGGTATCAATCGCTGCCTGTTTAAAACATGATTGAAATATATATTGATCACTAAAAAAAAAAAAAAAATCCCTATCTATCCATTTCCGCCAACACCACCATTAAAAGGTTGTCGATTATTGACACCACTAAAAGGTTTCTGATTATTGACACCATTAAAAGGTTTCTGATTATTGACATCACTAAAAGGTTTCTGATTATTGGCACCACTAAGAGGTTGCTGATTATTGACACCACTAAAAGGTTGCTGATTATTGGCGCCATTAAAAGGTTGCTTATTATTAGATTGCTGATTATTGGCGCCAAAAGGTTGTTGATTATTGGCGCCATTAAAAGGTTGCTGATTTGCCATAGCTGCAATTATGCTTAATAAGGTAGCAGCCTGTTGTTGGCTGGTACCAGGTTGAAGGTGACTTACAAACGCATTCCAAAATTCAGCAACTTCAGGTGTATTAGCGTTAGCATTAGATGGTGCGGGGACTGGGATATCGTCTTTAATATGACTGCGCAAATTATTCATTACTTGACTTTGATATTTTTTCAAATCTTTTAATTTTGCTAGCTGTCTTTCTCTGATAAATTCTTGTTCTGCTCTGTATTGAACCTTTTTTTTAAGTGTAAATAAAAAAAGGTTTATACTAATTGTACTGTATAAATTCCATTTATTTATCGGCAATTTACTTTTCAACATACCAATATATCTTGAATAGTTAGACGTGCTCGATCTTCGCCAGATATTAATAATCTTGCAATTGCATTATTCAAACCACCTTCAACTTCTTGAACGTTCTCCATCGATCCATTGTCTGATTTATTGCTACCATAGAGAATCATTGACACTGATGGACATAAATCCATCGTGCGAAGTGGATTAATTCCCTCTCTTACATCCGCCAAATAATCATGATCAATCATTCGAAAAAATTCTAATCGATGAGATCGTCGTTCTTCTGCAAAGCTATTCAAAAGTTTTTCTCGTTGATCACGATGAAGTTGTTCAGTCCTTCTTATACGTTCTCTATAAAATTCGGCCTCCGAAAATTTATTAATCTGACAACCAGGTGGTTCGACAACATCATCGTTACTATCTGGATAGTCTGATAGCATTACCCAAAACATATCATCATCCTAAAGTTCGTAGAGTTAAACACGTATTTTTTAATAATGATAACAATGATAACAATGGTCTGATTCTTTACCATCTTGTATTATCAATGATGCAAATGTTATGAAAATTTTTGGCAGTAGAATTTTTGAGACTTGATGAAAAATAGACCATATTTATATGTTTTTAATTTACCCAACTTTTCCAAATGCATCATTATAAGGACCACATACGTGGCTGTAGTAATGTTGACGCGAATCAAAGATATCATATGTAAATTGATTATTGTAACACGAAATAAAGTTGATAATCGATGTTACTGTATACTGTATATTATCGTTATTTAATTATCGTTATTAATTATAAACTGAATTATATAATAACCCGTTCTTTAATTCTAACTTTCTAAAGATTAAATCAAAGCATATATATGTCAAAAGTGAAAAAATAGCCCTAGTGTGAAATTGAATAAACATAGCACCTTTTCTTTTTAATCATATCCTTTTTAATAATCTTTTTTATATTCATAACGATCTAATGCACTCTGGATAAGAATGCCCCAGCGAAACCACAAATCCCCATACAAAATACAAAAAAGATCAAACCGGCGGAAAAAGTTTAAAAAAAACATTATCTAACCCAACAGACGATAGTTCAATGGAGATACCAGGGTTTTACTATGACCAGGAGCGTGACAGATACTTTAAAATAATACCAGGGCACCATTTTGGTCATGTACGTAGCGCTAACACAAGTGGCACGAAACAGCCTGAAAAGAATGTAAGCACGTCAACAAAACCAAGAATTCCAACTTGCAATTCGCTTCTCAACGATCGCGAACTTAATCCATTTAAAACAATTCATCGACTTCATAAGTAGGTATAAGCTCTATTTATTCTATTTATATCATTTCTTTGCTACAAATAATTATAATAATTCTAACAATTCTAATTTTCGCTAGTGAATGGAGAGAGATTTTTGTAAAGTCTTTACGCTATGTCGGTACTATTCAACAAACAATTCCTTTTTCATTGTCGCATCACATTACAGATTTCCAGGTTTGATTCCTTTTATATTATTAAGCTTGTTAATACATCTTTGGATCTTATGACATTCAGATAACCGTTTTATCTATGTAGCTTCACCCAACAAGCAATGAGTTATATATTGGCAATACTGATGGAATGGTCGGGTAAGCAAAGTAAAATACCTGTATAAGAAATTAGCGTACTTTAAAAATATGTCCGTTTGCTAATATATTCTTAGCTTGTTAAAGTTTCAGGCTTCTTCGAAAGCTTGTTCTGAAATTTTTAGCAAGCCATTTGCTTATTGTAACTCAGAGGTTCGTTCGTTAATAATAATAATAATTTTTTTTTTTTTTATGTCTGCATCCTTAAAAGAGACTAATGAAATTTGTGCTCGATTCACAGATAACGTCAATAAGAATTATTGGTGAAAATTTAATCATGTAAACTGTAATTTAAAATTTTGTAAACAATTAATGATTAGAACTTCTCTTAAATTCATTGTATGCTTCTATGATCTAGTTACACTTCACTTGGTAATCATCTTTGCCCTGGCATATTGCGCATTGAACATTTACCTGAAGTAACTGATTTTGACATAGTTCACGGTAAGATTTAGCATTACTAATTAACTACTAATTAAGTTGCTAATGCTAATTCGAGTTGACAATTTTATATTGAAATATAGAAGCAAGTGCATACAACTATCAAACCAGGTCAACGGTTTGGACGTCAACTTCTTCACAAGTTGATGAATGGATAGCGTTAGGTATTTTTATTATATACAGAATATGTTTTATTTAAAAAATTTTTTTTTTGATATGAATTTTCCGACTTCATCATATCATATAGGTGCAACAAAATATATCTCGGTTTTATCTAATTATTCTGTTCCGGGTGCTCGATTCACAAATATTAAAACCAATAGTGACGTTTTTGCTTTGGATAACGATCGATATCTGGTATTTAATTAGTTATAGTATAATTTCAGATAAAATACTTTTCCTATATTTAACTATTTAATTATGTAGCCTTCAGCTATTTTTGCAGGATGTCGAGACGGTCGACTGCTCCTTTTTGATATCCGGTGTAATCCTAAAAAATCTTCACCACATGGTGATGGCCCAATGATTAAACAGTCATCTCCAATATGCAATCTAAAACAAGTGAGTGGTTGGTATGTTCTAAGTGATGGAATGGATGGCTCGGTATGTATAAAAAATTAATAAATAGTTATAGTTTGAGGGTTGATACATTTCTAAACAAAGATTGCTCTAGCTTTCTTTATGGGATATTCGGAATCAACGAAGGAATCAAAATATGGGGGAGTCTACTTTACCTGTATTAAAATATTTTGGACATGTTAACAGTACTAAGCGTCGAACCGGATTTGCCGTGAATTCGTATAACTCAATCGTTGCTATTGGTTAGTAGTTTATTTATATTTGTATCTTTGAGCAAGAAAAATTACCATTTATTTAACCATGTAAGCTGGATTTAATAATAGCCGGTCAAGATAATCTTGTCCGATTTTTTTCTATCAACACTGGAGACGTTGTACGCATGCCAATTGGTCCATTCGAAGATAGGGTTTCAACGATTCAATTTTGTGAACGTGATGAACAACCAAATTATGAATTTCTTCAGGATGGAAATAGTGAAAAACAGTATAATAAAGGTGAAGGTATTTGGATTTCGATCGGTAAAGAATTACAATGGTGGAGTGTTCCGTAAATAAACGAAGAAAGGTTCGCAATGTGTTAGTTTTTTGCAATTGAAGATTTAAAAGAACTATTTCTATAGCGTACAAATGATTAAAACTTATTTGTATCGTAATAACTTAATAAAAAGGGGAAAACTTTTTATCAACTTAATAAATGTTTGAAACTTTAAGCTTACCGTTGTATTCTGAAATTTCATATTGGTTATGATCAATATTTTATGCTGAGTTTTAAAAAAAGTAGCAATTGCATCCTTCGCGTTTAGCACCTTCCGCGACTGTTTTTTTGGGTTTTTTTTCTTTTAATTATTTGTTAAACTAAGCTTCATATTTGAAAGTTCAACTTTTTTTTTTAGATCGATTGCTTCCTCGTGGATTTCTTCCCACAACATCAGCAAGTTAATTTTTTATAAAATTTATGTGGCTCTATATAGATCTACAAACCCGATGTAGACTTACATGATAAGAATTTTCATAAATGAACTGTGTTATTTTTATATAAATTTTATTTATTATTTCGTAAATTTTATTTATACATATCTATATAAAAATAATTTAATTTACTTTGGCTATTTCTCGAGAGTGAATGTTCAATATTCTGTATTAAATAAAAATGCTCAACTTGCTAGAAAACCCCTAATTTAAGCTTAAAAATTTTGTTATTTCAGATTCGATTTCTCTTTTTTTTTGTCTTTTATTTTTTTAACTCAGAGTACAACATTAGTGTTATAAATCAGAGTAAAAGAATGTAATCGATTAGTTGATTATTGTTAACTAATCGATTAATTGATAATTGTTTATTTCTAAGAAATTGGTTTAACCGTTGGAACTACTTAAAAATTTCGTAATATTTTTAAGATAAATCTATTACGATAAATCTCTAACAAATATTTTACTAATTAAAATTGTCAGAAGCAAGTTAATGTTTGCAATAAAATAGCAAAAAAAAAACTTCTAAACTTTTTTTTTGGCCATCATGTAAAATCAAAAATCATATATTCAGATTCGATACTTTATTGAATTTTTTCTATTAGATTTTAGAAAAATTTTATTTACATCTTATTACTTTTCTTTTTTTTTTAAAAAAAAAAAGACAATACCGTATAAACGCACATGGGCATTATTTCGAAATTTCAATTTTTTAAAAAATGGGAATATTATAAGCTTAGGTTCAACCTTTAAATCTGAAACCCATTTATTATCGTATAATTAACAATATATCTAGAATTTATTCGCCTTCCGCTGTCTTTGTCTCAAAAAAACTAAGTATCTCTTTCTAGTTCTATTATAATGTCTCAAGAAAGTGGGGTTTTTTTTTTCAAAAATTAGCATGATGATTCAAATTATTGTGCATGAACGTATGCATTTACTGTATATGGTATAATAAAAAGACGATCGTTGCTGGGAATCCAGTGGAATCACCAACAGACAATGACTTTACTTTGCACACTTAATACTCGAGAATAGACCAAAATAAAAGTCAACTCCATTATCATATTAAGCCCAAAAACCAGGTTTCTTTTTTAAAAAAAAGGAAAAGAAAAATGTAAAAAGGAAATAAGAACATTACCAAATCTGCACCAGTAAAATATAAATTCACTAATGTTTTGATTAAAGTTGGGTAAAATATATTCTTTAACAGGGCAATTTAATTGACTAGACATTATTTGAAGCTAAAGTGAGGCCTTATGGTGCACATCATAATGTTACTGATAACTAGGGCAAGCTTAAAGTCTTCTCAGTGCAATAACTACTTCAAGAAGAGTTAAAATTATTATCAAACTATAGGCATGTTCTAAAGAAAGAGAAAAATCAAATAAAAAAGGTTTATATAAATAAATATTTTATAATATATGGGCAGAGACGATGATATGTTGTGCTTCAAAAAATTACAAAATTTATATAGTTTTGTCACAAAATGGCTTGTTTTACATAATTTTATAGAAGGTTTCAAAATTCCTGATTGGAATGTATTAGAATCCTGGTTAATAGAGCCAAAATTATCAATTTTGCTTAGGATTACTAAAAATTTTACTAATAAAATTGTTGCTGATTATTAAGTAAAAAGTGTCTTGCTAATGATTTTGCTATAATATATCGGCTGATTTGTTTTAACCTTAAAATCGACCAATCATAATTAAGAATTATTAAAAAAATTTTACACAAAAATTTATTACAAAACAAATTTTCACAAAAACAGCCTTTACAACTAGCTTTGCATTTATAAGTAAGTATATAAAAATTTACAAAATTCATATGTTTAATTATAAGCCAAAAGTAGATTAAAAAGGCTACTTTTGGGGCTTGGAAAAACTCTACTCGAATGGCTTAAAAATAGAGAGTTGGTAGACTCATATAGATATCTAAATCCACATA